GTTCTGGACCAGAGGAAGGTTCTGGATCAGAGGGAGGTCCTGGACCAGAGGAAGGTTCTGGACCAGTAGGAAGGTTCTGGATCAGAGGAAGGTTCTGGACCAGAGGAAGGTTCTGGACCAGAGGAAGGTTCTGGATCAGAGGAAGGTTCTGGACCAGAGGAAGGTTCTGGACCAGAGGAAGGTTCTGGATCAGAGGAAGGTTCTGTCAGCTGCTGTTCTGCAGAGGTGAGTCTGAGAGGCATGCACATGGAGACGGTTCCAGCCCATAAATCTCAGAGCTGCTTTGGAGATAACTCCTGGTGGAGCAGAGCTGGACCTCCTCCAGGTCTGATCCAAAATGACCTGGAGATGGTTCTGGTTCTGCTCAGTAGCTGACGCGCTTCCCGGTCCCGGTCCGGTCCGGTTTCGGTCCGTCCTGGTCCCGGTCCGGTCCGGTCCGTACTTTCTGGGGACCTACCCACTCTGAGCTCCTTCCCGAACACCGTCCTCTCCCCCAGCGCCGAACAGTTCCAGCGGCTGTAGCGGAACTGGAACTGGCACTCGCTGAGGCCCATTTGGACCCCCTCTCCGACCGCGATGATGGCGTCGGGTCTGCTCTGGCAGATGGTCCGCTGCCGGGGGGCCAGGCCCGGGATGTTGTTACAGATGATGCTGGCTCCCAGAGCGACCACCGGCCACAGCCCCCTGCGATGAGAGAAAAGTTCTGACTGGAAACCAGAACCGAACTGGTGCCTTCAGCTGCAGGTGGAACCAAGGTGCCCAACCCGCTGGCCCCAGAACCCCTCCAGAACTCACCCGATCTTCAGGTAAACCAGCCCGAGGCAGAGGAACACCTGCAGAGCGCAGCGCCGGCCCGTCCTGCTCATGCTGGCTCCGTCCTCCTTCGGTTCTCCTCCCGGTTCTGCGGGGTTAGGGTGAGTGGCAGCAGGCCCGCCCCGGAGTCAGGTGGGAGCCTGCGGGGGGAGGGGGGCATTAGGACAGCTGGTTCCGGCCGCGCGCTGCGATCCAGTTGGACGTCCGCGTGCGTCTGGGTCTCAGTCTGCCTCGGTTCACATTTTCTATCAGGGCGGCTTCAGAGTGAGGAAGGTGCCTCCATCCTCTTCCTCAGCTGGTGGTCTGGCTGAAGCTTCCGGAGAGGTGGGAAGAAAAATCTCTGG